AAAAAAAAAAAAAAAAAAAAAATCACCTAAACAATCTTGCCCATTCGGCAAATCCGATCGGGTGCTCAGTCTCAGGCGTATCTTTGAAACGGTCATCAGCCAGATCGGATCGACAACCGTGGGCACGTAGAATCCGAGCAATGCTCAGAATGTTCTCTTTCTGGTCATTGAACCTTTCTTGCACCTCGAGTTCACCCCACCTTGGGTCACTGGGATATCCATAAAAGAGGTCCTCATATGCATAGAGTAGAGCATTGAGTGGGGTGCCTTTGGTCGCAGCATAGTCCCCCCGAGGGTTGCCCGCATCACATCTATCATTGATGAGAGTCAAGACCATATCCCTATCCATCATATAGGCAGCATACCAGAGCGCAGTTTGGCCACCATTTGCTCGAAGATTTAGGTTGACGTCCGGGTCGTGTACAAGGGTTGTGAAACTCCACAATCTGCGATGCACGATTGCATACATCAGAGGTGTTTGACCCTCAGAGTTTCGGGCGTGAAGAAATCCTCGATACGCGTCTGTTGTTTCACAGGCATCTTTCACCCTCTCCAATATGGCGTCTAAGACAGAGGCCATAGGGTTCAAGACAGCGGCATGGAGAGGGGTATCCTGGGTATCTTGATGTGGCATCGCAATATCTCGTTCGAAATTCCCACCAAGGCGAAGCACTTCCCCAATCGTAGCAAACTCCTCAAAGGCACAGATGGAAAATATGGTTCGGCCAGGGATGGCACCTCCATTGGCAGCCAATACCTGCTCGACGACGTCCATTCTCCCTATCCGGTATGCTATCGTCATCAAGGTCTCTTCTTGCTCACCGCAGGCGTTGAGCCTCTTGTCAAAGTCAAACCGGTCTCCGAGTGATAGGAGATATCGTATAATCGTATTCGCCGATGCGAGTAGAGCCACTCCCGGAGTGCGGTACCCACATTCGAGCATGCTGTTCGGATCCATCCCAAGCGCTACTAGCACCTTCACTACACCGACATCATCTTGGAGAAGCGCTAGTCCAACTGACGAATCCGCCAGCGATTGGTGTATGGGGTAACGGCATGCTCGGGGTCCAACCCAATGAGGCCCTTCGGGAGTTCCTGCATTGTGCAACTCCCATTCTTCGAACCGAGGGGCGATTGTCGCACGCAGTATATCTCGGGCAGTCACCACTAGCGAGTTTGTCCCTGGTTGTCCAGGATCCCGCTGTGGGAGCGTACTCGTAAGCACCAGCAAGTTCACATACCCCTCCTCGCCTAATATGTCCGCTAGTTTTTGTCCCACGTTTCCGGCGGTCAGTTCCCGTACCTTTATAACCTTTTTAGTGCGCTGGACAGGGTTTCTGGCAGGTGGAGTACGCTCATGACGGTCCCGGTGTGCCCTCAAATGGCTGTTCAACGCGGCACCGTAGTACTGTGGATGATAGCGTCTGCAATGGGTGCAGTAAACGTTTCCTTGGCGTCTCGGCATGGTGTCGTCTGGTAGATATCTGCGTATGAGGATTGCTTCCCAGGTTGATAATGAGCGGAAAATGCAATCTGGAGTCCTATGGGACAGCGTATGCATATATAAGGTGTATATTTTTTATCAAAGCCATCTTCAGACCCTCTAGGCCGTATACCAGATGCACCGGGACACTTCTGAAAGACCCTATATCGTTCTTTCATAAAGCTACTCATTTTTAGATTTAGTGCACATCAGAAAGGAGTACAATGTTAGTAGCCATACTTGCTTTTCATAAAGTCCACGGTGCTCTTTGTCTGTCAAAGTGCCTTTTAGTTGCCCATTATAACCATATATATATAGTACAACTGCATTGTCGATTTCATTGTTCAACGCTCTGTGATAGACTTGCCTGTAAAAGAAAGAGGATCTGTCACTCTAACTTAAGAATGAGATGCTATACTCGACGGATGCCAGTATAGCCCGCCATAGAGCTTCATTATAAAGAAAGTCATTAAGATAAGTATATGAAACTTTTGACAAAAGATGTCCAAAAAGAAGTAAGTCACAAAGACGCACCTGCCTCAACATCGCGATACTCAAGCATCCACACCCACAACCCAAGTGTATACTAACATCTAGATGCTTTCCCACCAATTATAGCATTACCAGACAATCCTTTATATTACCATTCCCAATAAACAATGAAGCCCAACTACCTCACCCCACGCCTAACCTTCTCATTGATACTACCAACGGTCACCACCTCCCCAACACCAACCAACAAAGGCGCTCTCTGCGACTGCTACATCGTCTCCGGCCCAGAACCAGGCTACTTCACAAATCACCACTTCTGGGACTTCCGCAACATCCCCCTCCCAAACTTGGACCAGCCTACCCAAAACCAAAACCCTCTATCACAAAACGCAACCCTCCGCCTCACCCAAACCCCCTTCATAACCGACTGGTTCCCCCAAACCTGGGCCAAAACCGGAACGCAAGAGTACCTCCCAATAACAAACGCGCAATCTAACGTCTTCTTCGCCCGGAACCCTACGCCTCAACAACCCCAAAATCCAACCTACCTCCTCCTCCAAGCAACCCGCCTACCAACGTACGTCTCAACAGCCGAAATCGAGCTCCGAGCCCGAAACATATTCCATTGCTCCCTCCGCGTCCGCATGAGGCTCATGTCTAGAGAAACAGTCCTCGGCGAAGCAACAACAACCAATGCCCGACAGCACCCACAAGCAGAGAAAGATATAGCTCAAGACAAACATTCCACCAAATCCCACCGTCCCAAACAGTACCAACACCCTGCGGATCAAAACACCGTCCCCAAGGGAGCCTGCGTAGGCCTCTTCACCTATCAATCCAAAACCTGCGAGTCAGATATCGAGATCCTAACCGCCGACCCGCCTAACGTAATCCACTATTCCAATCAGCCGGATTACGATCCCGTCTCGGATACGGCGATCCCTGGCGCCGGGTCGATAGTGAATCTTTCTGTTCCGTGGACGGGGTGGGTGACGCATCGGTTGGATTGGTTTCCGGGGTTGTCGAGGTGGTATGCGGACCAGGGGCTGCAGGTGGTGAAGGGGTATGGGGTGCCAGGGATGGCGAGTACGGTGGTGTTGAATCTGTGGAGTGATGGGGGGGATTGGACGGGGGACTTGAGGGTGGGGGAGTCGGTGTTTTTGGGGGTGGAGTGGATTGAGATGGCGTTTAATGTTTCTTCTTCGGCTGTGGGAGGGTCTGGGAGGGATGATGGGGGGTTGGGGAGGGCGAGGGCTAGGTCTGCTCGGCGGGTTGGTTTGGGGGATGGTGATAGAGTTGTGGAAGGGGCTGGGCTTGGGGATAAGATTCTCAGTGGTATCCCGAAGCAAGAGGATGTAGCAAGGGGTGTGGTTAGATGTCGGAAAGCGTGCTACCTGAGTGACTTTCATTAAGTTGTCCTCATTCTTTCTCAGTCTTACCGATACCTAATCAATATCTTTACAGCAGATTTGGTCTTCGTAGAGTATTCACATTGGTCTAGAGTGTATCCATAGATGTCTACAACCACATTCAACCATGTCCATGTCCCTGTCCAAATCTGTATCCTCCATGTTCCATGCTTTGTATGTGTGCATGTTACCATCAAAAGCGATTTACGCCAATTCAATCTCATGTCAGGAGCCTTGCTTCAACTGACGGGTATCACTCGTACATGTGCCAAACGCCGGTGCTGATTCCAAAACAAACCATACTCTCAGAGTCCCCCAAACTCCAGAAAAGAAGCCAACAAGGAAAAAAACAGATACCACCATCATCGCTCTCTCCCCCTCCTCCCCCTACCGCCGGGAGGTGATGCTTTAAGGGTGTTGTCTAAAGCAACAACTCCCCGCCGGAGGCTGGATCAAAATCCCCCTCCAGCCCCCCGGCCATCAGCTCGGCCACTATCTTCTTGCGTAGAAGGACAATGTCCCGCGCGCAATAGGATAGTGGCTCGAGACCGATGGCCACCGCCTTGGCGGTAGACAAAAGGAACACTCCGCAGTCACTACCATTGTCTTGCTGAGGAGAGACAGACGGTAGGACGCGCCATTCCTCCTCGACGTAACGAGGGCCCAGTTCGTTACGGAGCCAATCCTGCATTACCGCTACATGGCGCGGGGAAGGTCCACCCAGCGAGTCAAAATTCTCGATGGTCCGTTCCATCGGTTTGATGATGATGAGCGTCCAGTGGGCACTGTTATGCACTGGGACAAACACGGTATCCACGTGAAGAAGAGACGCGCCGCCAATCTTAGCGCGAGTGGCCCAACGTCGGACGGACTGGTAGCCCTTGTCGCGCATAGTAGAGAAAAAGAAAGTATTGAAAGCGTGGAACCGTGGCTTGTCACTCCGACCGTTGTTATGATTCGTGCGGCGAAGATAGTCGACGATCAGAGAAAGATACGAGTTGATAACTTCATCATTCAACCAAGCCAAGGGAGTAAAGCAGGTAGACAGATCTTTCTTCGTCAGGGGATCACCAGACACCGAGGTAGCGATCGTCCGGTTAGAGGCCGCAGACATGGCACTCGATACTCGACTCATCCATTCTTTCGAAAGGGGACGTACAGCTGGACCTTCCAGGCGAACTCGGGCTGGGCTTTGTTTTTGTTTCTCCTCCTCTTCGATCTTTTTCCACTCCTTAGCATAGACAGACGCCGTTCGGCCGGGCGGAAGCGGTTTCGCTTCAGGATAAAAGAGGCTCACGGCCGAGACGGGTCGTCCAAGTGGATACTCAATCGGCTCCTCCCATGCATACCTAACATGTTCAGAGACTCCAACTTCCTCCTTCACTGCGGAAACGGGCGGGACATTCTCCTTCTGTTCATCCGACACCTTCTCAAGGCCAGTTCGATCGACGTTAGGAGATACAGGTTGAAGATGCGGCGCAAGGTCAGGAAGAGTGGGCTCCGGAATGAATTGTGCAAGCGGTTCCTTGAAGTGGACTTGCTTTTTCTGTTTCTTCGGCTTCGGCCCCTCTTTCGGGACGGCCCGGCCTTCACGTTCAGCACGGTTGGGCAGCGGAATGCGGGTGGAAACGCCAAGCTCAGTGAAGTCGCCAGATTTCCATCCTTTCTGTAAGGCGAGCTCAAGGTTGCCACGCACCCGGTTTCTGCCTGGCCAGAGCCGACGTTTAAGATTCGGGCTCATGGAAGTAACCCGCGGAGACTTCTGGACGCCTGTCGGCTTTGTGATCCCCGTCTGAGCTCCATAACGCGCAACATTTTTTGTCAATCGATTGGCACTATTTGGGGCATCCTTTGTAAATTGGCTGGCATGCGACTTGGCCGCAGAATAACCTGGTTCCCCCATAGATGGGGACCAACTGGTTGAACGCTGTAGAATATCGAGCGACAATTCGGGGAAAGGAAGATTCCGGACGGTGGCATAACCTCTCTGATTACGCCATTTATGGTCTTTGATCTTTCGTCTCTGCTCCTGAGGGAGGCGACGGAGCGCTGCAGCGCGAGACGGAGAGGCTCTGGGGCTGGAAGGAGGACGGCGGGCAGTCTGAAGGCGGGGTTTACGTCGTACATAGTCGATCATGGGTTGTCCAACCAGGTACCAAGCCTTGGTAAAAACATTCTTGACGGTTCCCGACGCTCCCTGCACAAGGTTGTGACATGCTTCCGAGAAGGAGCGTACCATATGCGGGATCTGTCCACTGCGGACATTAGCATCGTCCGCATTCGAAGATTTAACAGTGACGGTTGCGGCAGGTGGAGCGACAAGTGCGCCCGACATGAAGGGCTCTTCGTCTGGGCTCAATGAAAATTTAACAGCTGCAGTAGCAGAAGAAATGTCTTGGGCGGGCGATTGTTCAGGCCATCCACCAGGAATATGGGTATCGGTGCTGGTGGCACGATTGATCTGGTCACCAACCGTTCCGCTAGTAGAGAAATGGCTATCAGATACAAATGCGACTGATGTTGTGGTGTGTTTAGACTGCATATGGCCGTCAGATAGGATGGGAGCGGTAGCGGTCGGCACGATTGGTTGCCCCATGATGGGGTGCGCAGAATGGTTTGATGTTGCTTCATTTGCCAAGGCTCTCTGGGTATCATCCTGGCTTGTAACAGCAGAATTTGGAAAGCCCTTTACGCTGATGCGACGATACTTGTTTGAGGGGCTATCAGTCTCAGGGGTGGCATTGTGGCACTCGTCATTGAAGCCCTCGTCCACAGATCTCTTACGAGAGTTGAATGATGCTGCAGTGGTGACCGAAGTATTGGAGGTAAAACTAGGTGTTTTACGGTCCCAAATAGACTTGGTAGTCAGAAAACTGTTGAAAGAGGAATCGCGTGTGGTAGGCGCGCTGTTTTCAGTTGTCATTGGTTTATAGGGCAGAGAGCTGAGTATGTTGCTCGAATGGTGTTTGTTCGTAGAGAAGGGGGTATTAGGTTTGTTGCTCGAAAGCAAAGAGCCGACTTTGGTTGTCGAGACAAAGGTACTGGGGTTGTCTCGGAGAAGAGGCTGCGCAATAAACTGCTGCTTAAAACGGCCTGTGGACGGATCAATTCGCGCCTTCGGTGAAAATCGCGCCAAAGGTCTGATGAGCGGAGCACGTGTCATTGGCTTTCCATCGAGTCTGGTGGCCCTAGGCACACCGCCATTTTTGGGAGGAGTGCAGTGAACCCAATAATCGGGATATTTGGAGGTGAGGTCCATGGGCTGAGCGATGTTCCGAGACCGCTCGTTGGAGGTATGAAGAGGACTGATGTCCATAGGATCATAATATTGATCCTCGACTCCCACACGCGTATCATCAGCATCGATCATGCTCACGTCTCTCATGGTCGCGTCCTCCATCCTGCGTCGCTGGGTCGAGAAGACACCAGCCATGGTGGATTTGGAATCCGGATTCGGAAGAGGACGAGGGCGATTGTAGAAAGAAGATACGGGTGTTGACGTAGAAGCGTTCGAAGTGCGCTGAAAGCGAGAGGATTTGGTAGTGAAGTAAACAAAGGTGAGGATGACGAGCAAGAGGATGAAGACGTGAGTGGTGTTGGTAGTAATGAGAAAGAAGAGATGACGGAGGGGTGAAGCAAAACAAATGGGGTCACAATTACTGGCCATGGGTGGTCGCCATGGTTTTTATTGTGGTCGCGACTGTCGCTGGATGAATGGCAGCTCCATGAGCGTATTTGACGGGATAAATAGATGACAGGCTGGAGAGGCGCAAACCGAGCCTTCCCACCGTCGCGCAATCTGGAGAAGTGAATGAATGGGAGAAGTCAAAAGTAGTTCCCGCCATGGTTTAGACAAGCTCCAACTGGCGCTTGCCCGTTTCGGGACAGACACGTGATGTGTCCGCAGACAAGCATGCTGTAAGGTACCATCGATTACATTGAATTAGAAGAGTACTCCTACTGCGGCTTGCTGCGTACCGGGCTTTTCTATTAGAAATCTAGACTAATTACTGGTCAATTCCAATGTGCATGGAGTTTATTAACACCCAGACTGGTAAGTGGTTACTAAAATAGAAATAGACATGAGAAAAAAGAAAATGGTAAGAGGAAAGAAAATAAAGTTACATAACGCATCAAGGTCATATATGTACAATAGATGCCCAGCTATGGTACAGAAATAGAAATGACTCATGACATTCAGCCAGCTGAATCATCCTCTCCTCTCCTTCTGATTCTCGTGCGACATTAGTTCGGCGCAAGACCGACTTTGGCGAAGACAAAAGGTGCTGCCTCCATGACAATCCAGGCAATTCCTAGGAAGCGTTAGCCAGGGCTCGAGAGGAACGATCGTATCACACAACATACCGGAATATACCACCAACTTCGTAACCACTTCCACATCGTATCGTACACGCGGTCTCTTAATTCGCGCAAACATCTCTTCTTCGTCAGGCTCCGGGTCGGGCACTAGGTCGGGGAATGGCTCAGTCGATGATGGTATCTCCCCACCGTTGACACCGGTTGCCATACGGGGGCTACCCGTTCCCATCATATTTTCATATTCGTGTAGTTTCGAGCGTTTCCGGGACAGCGGAGGGTACTGTCCCTCGGGGGCGTTTTGTTGGTGGCCCACCTCAGGGAGGGGGGACGTTCGGCTGCTATTCGACAGACTCTCCCGTCGGCGCTTTTCCCGATAAGCCAGCGTTTCGTAGGCATCAGCCTCTGATTGGGGGCCGATAGAGATCGCTCGTTGTCGGGGATGGCGAATGGTCGAGAAGATTGATGGGATCTCGGAGAAAGTGGGGAACACTTCATGGTCCTTGAGTTGCGTGGGAACTTTGGTGTATTTCCTGGTCAAAAGGTGAGCCAGAAACGGTCTTGATAAGATAAAGATGGGGGAAGACTTACGATGCTGCTGTGAAAAACCTTCGGGGAAGCAACAGACCCAACTTTTCCAGCCCACGAAAGACCGGGGGAAGCAACCGGAGAAGAGAGGGCTTCATAACTTCCCTCCACACGACAATCAACGTCACCCCCAGAATGAGGCGCAAAACTGTCTTGAACACTCCTAATTCATCAAGCCTATATGGAACGGTGGCTGGGACGGGGTCATCCCATGTGATACTAGTTTTCGCTACGTGCCAGTAAGCCACTTTCAATCCAAGTATCACACCCGCAAAGGCAACACTATCATCGAAACAGGGACAATCATCGGCGGGCTCTGGATGAAGGCGGACAAGCGCGAGGATCACCAACACCACCAGTATGATCTGTTTCCCACTAGCCGAGACCACAAACTCGTCGAAGACGGTGCCGTATGCATATTGCACCACTGCCAGTAAGGCGCCTAGCAAGCAGCCAATGACCACATCGAAGAAGCCATGCATACCACAGTACAGCCGGCCAAACACAATCGAGGTAACGTAGAGGTAGGTGATCCCTTGCAGGAACACATTGACAGCTGGGCTCAAGGACGAATCGGGCATGTTTAATAGGGCAAGCGCATACACGGCGACTGAGACCGCGTTGGTCGAGTGAGTCGAGGGAAACCCATACTCCAACGCAGCGGAGCCGGACATGGTAATCCGTTGTAGAGGAGGCGATAGCGGGCGCGGGAGGCACAGCAAGTCTTTGATAAAACCGCTAAAGAAGACGCCAGAAGCCAGAAGATTGACCATACTACCCAATTGAAACTTTTAGTCAATGCGTCAAAAGAGCATTATTCCTCACGAGCTGTTGCGGGTCCGAAGTACATACCCATGGCCTAAGCTTGTATACCCATTCCAGAACAGTATCGGCAAGAAGACCATGAAAAACGTGTGAGTTCCGAGATTGGCCGTAAATGCGAAGTAGGAGTCTAGGGCCGGAGTGCGGACCTTTTCCTGCAACCAAGCGAGATATGGCGTCTCATATCGAACTAACGGGAGCAGTTTCTGTCGCGGCCAATACCGCCAGGATGGGAGCTGATTGCGATCTAAGGCAATCCAGCATGCAGTCAGTATGACGATGCGCTGGTAGGGAGAGGGAACACGACGCACAATGATTGAGGCTTCTCAGCCCAGCATCCGGTATGCCATTTGGCTCTTTGGCCATGTTGTAGACGGTGGCCGTTCAAATCCGATTGACGCTAAAATTGCGGTTTCCCCATAGATCCTACGGAGGATCTGCTCAGTCCAATGTCTCAACGCCGGTGACAATATCACCCGAAAACCATTCGGACAGCAGAAATTGCAATTTTCCACCAACTGTCCTTCGTCCACTGGTTGTCAATCAAGGGGGGGTGGGGGAGAAATAGGAACACAGCCGATCAATTTAGATTAGTCGGGACTCGTTCACACTATCTAGTGGTTTGTTCCTTGGGCGATTCGATGGAAAAGCACGGGTGTCAGCGCTTAGTCACCAATACGAGTAACTACGACCACGGAAGACGGAAGGCCGGAAATCGCCGATAGAATGAATGCCTGGAAGACTTATGATTTGAAGAATCTGGGTGAGTTCTTTTCTATCATTGGTTAATTTATGCTTAGCACTACCACCTACCTAGTAAGAGCCTCGGTAGGTAGATTGAACCACGCACCTGAGAACTTGAACACAACAACAATAACAACAAAAAATCAAAGTCTGTTGGTACGACAAATATATATCCGTAATTACTAACTTTTGCACCAAAATGTACAAATTTGATCAAAATGTTAACTGGTGGGATATTTGTTCTAAATTTTTCCCGCATTATCAGTGATCGTATGTGTTAAGAAGAGGTCATGCTAACCCTACTCGTTACCAATCATTCTGGCATATACTCAGCTTCCTCTTAACATCTGACATTACAACAATGAAACAGCTAAGGGATTTAGTTTCTCGAATGATCATGATATATCATTACTGATCGGGTTGATATTAGTTAGTATAGGTGGAACTGTCAGTCGGGTATTGGTTGTAGGGGTAGAAAGTAGATCCAAAGGGGAGCTTTTCGTTGTGAACCCTCACTATTGTACTATTTGTTATATGTGGATGGGATTCACATCAACCTGCATGAAGAGTAGCGAACTGTATCTCATTTTGCAAAACATTGCGATTGTAACGACCCTGATATCTTTCGTCAATTGAGAGCGTACTATTCTCAGGCTACCACGAGGACGGGGCTATCATCGGGCGGATTCGATTGATTGCGTACCGAAATGAGCGCCACACATACATCCTCAGCATTCAACATGGCAACAAGTGGCGGGGTGTGGGTACATTGGGTACGTAGGGTAGGATTGGCTAGAAATCTCTACGACGGAAGCCGTGCATGATTCGTTCCTGTACGGACAGATGACAGCTGAACTTCTCGCTAGGGGGAAATCCCTCGAGCACACAGTCCTTCGGTAGGGGTGTATACTATTTGGCCAAGAACCGTAAGGGGTGAGTATTGGTGAGTGTTTACATTGCATTATCGGTGATCGGGGCCAATCGTGACACTAAAAACAATCCAACGTCAAGATCGGAACAGCTTTAGGGCCAGGGAAACAAGGTTACCGAGCGAAAAAGCAGGAAGATCAAGGCGGTTAGAAGAGTGAGTGTGGCCCAGACCACTGGAGAGGAATGCCTTGATTCATGGGTGACGGGTTATGCTAAAAAAAGAGTAGAATGATGCGTTGGGGGTGGATATGCGTCATCAGGCGTTGCCATGGCAGCGCATCGGCCCGTAAACATCGGGTTTCATGTCAGCTGGAGAAGCAGCCATTTTGATTGTACAACGACCGACAATTGTGAAACTAGACATCTAGTTTATTTTCTTCTCTCCATTAACCGTGACCTCAACCTCAACCTCAACCTTGAGCTTTTCTTTTCTTCCTCTTAGATTTCCCACTGTTACTTTCTCCAATCTGCGATATCATCCTCTCCCTATTATCCGAACACTAGGAAACGGAAATTCTCCGAGACTCCCTTGGACACGAACAGTGGATCAATCTAGAGGCAATAGACCAGACCGACTGTTCCATTTCCGGTATTGCTGAGCACCACGTTCCAGCGAATTCTCCCAATCCAACCTCTCCCTCCGCCATCATCATGTCGAGTCATATGTACGATGACCAGCCATATGCAGTGTCACGACGTCATTCGGTCAAAACGCCTCCTCCGACTTCCTCCACTCCCCGCCATAGCAGAGGGCGCAGCCATAGCGTCCGAGTGAGCAACGGAACCGCAAGCACAAATACCAGTATCTCGAGTGGAAGGATGTCGGAGGCGACAAATATCACCCAGCCGCCGGCATACTCGAAAAAGTTCGTGGTGGTGGGAGATGGAGGATGCGGCAAGACATGTCTCTTGATTAGTTATTCACAAGGCTATTTTCCAGAGGTATGGCCCTCCTATCTCTAAATCACTAGCGAGCTGCTTTATTCCGACCGGGGTTGTTCTGATATGGTCTAGAAATACGTGCCCACGGTTTTCGAAAACTACATCACACAAACGGTCCATCGAGCATCTGGGAAGACGGTCGAACTTGCCCTTTGGGATACTGCAGGCCAGGAAGAATATGACCGTTTGCGCCCATTGTCCTACCCCGAGACTGATTTACTGTTCGTTTGCTTTGCTATTGATTGCCCTGCCTCCCTAGAAAACGTTGTGGATAAGGTATGCCCTCCTGGAGCCCCTTCAAATTGAAAGCTATACTGACTGGGGGAAGTGGTACCCTGAGGTCCTACATTTCTGCCCCACAACCCCCATCATCCTGGTGGGCTTGAAGTCCGATTTGCGCAACAAGAGGACGTGCATAGAACTCCTCAAGACCCAAGGCCTGACACCTGTGACCCCGGAGCAAGGTGGGGCAGTGGCTCGGAGGATGAATGCCTCCTACGTGGAGTGCAGTAGTAAGGAGATGCGCGGCGTGGACGGGGTGTTTGAACTGGCTGTGGACACGGTTGTATCTGCGGAGGAACAGTTCAGTTGGAACAACCGCCCAAGCCATAGCACTGGTAGCAAGACTACTGGAGGAGGGGGCGGGGGCGGTGGTCCGAAGAAAGTCAAGAAGCGTACATGCAAGATCTTGTAGATCGCTTACCTTGAGGTTCACCTGGCTCCGTACCCCTTCATTCTGTTTGTTATTTTACTCCTTTCCGCCGAAAGAAGCCTGGTTGCTTCGGCGGTTCGCTTCTCCTTGTACGTGATATGAATTGGATACGACCTGGAGAGGATGACCCGCGTGGTCCAGACCGTTATTTGTTTCTTTTTTTCTAAATGTTGTTTTTAACGGCGGCTTTCTGATTTCTTCTCTTCATGTTTGCTATACCTGCTTTGCCCTGATGATTGTCACCATGAAACACTATTACCCTTCCTTTATATTAGCTTTTGCGTTTCTTTTGACTTCCCTGATTTCCGACTTGGCATGTTGCCCTCATGATGTTCGTCACGAATCCGGTCCGAAGACCACTATGTCATATGCATGGGGTGGGTGTTTATTGGCGCAGAGTATCCCATGTCATTGAATATAAAAAATTGTGAAACCCAAGATACGTTAATTCTTTGTAGATTGAGAAAATATGGCCTAGGTAAAAAGAATAAACTACGCAGAACCAAAAACTGAACTCCAATACACCAAACCATGCACCGAACATATCCCTGGATCATCTCTCATGTCTCAACCGTCCAACTCACTCTTGCCGTCTGCAAGATCCTGCTTGTGCAGCTCGCTCTCGCCTTCCTCCTGCTGTTCCTCTTTCTCCCTAGAACCGCCCTCGGCCTTTTCACCCTCCGGCCGTCCCATGAAGTTCTCAAATTGAGACCAAAGGGCTTCGACAGAGCTGAACTCATTGCCCACCTGCGTCCAAGGATTTAGCCAGCCACATCTACAAGAAAAGCTACACAAAAGACTGAACTTACCGAAATGATACTTTCTAAATTCCGGTTCAACCGATTGATATTCTGAAGCACTTGTTCCATTCCCTGGGCCGCTGGTTAGCTCGGGTATCAAAACACATTCTCCATTATCCCGGGTCTAAATGACATACCACCGCTATCTCTCTGACCAGTTCCTCCCGCTGTTGCTCGAAGACGGTCGGGGTGGCCGATCTGGACTTTGAACCTGGTGTCAAGGACATTTTGGATATGATGTAGACCGTAGAGATAGTTATGAAAGTAGACTTGCAAATGCACAAGATGAGAACAAAGAATTGGCGGCCACACTTCTCAGTTAAATCAACACAGGTACTACTTGCACTTTTAATGCGGGTGATTTAATACCTGACCATCATGTTCGGACCAATGTTTCTTTCTTTCTTGTGGGACCGGGACCTGATATGTCCTGATTCGGTATGGTGCCAACCACGGTCTCTTTTCTGCCGGTTATATGGTTTACCGCTTGATACTCCGCCTGTTGGTAGGCATATTTGGTTGTCTGCTATTAGTGCTCCTGACAACAGGCTCAGTAGATTATATGTGCTTATCAATGCTCTGTGTAAGCCGGTGTTGCTACAGGGCTCCTGATAGCATTTACCAGGTCTTGGGTGTCGCACTGGCGCCGGGTCAATCCCCTTAGGTCTCAATCTTTTTCGCGTACACCTCAGCAACAGAAATCGGTCAAATTTTGGGTCAGAGACGGAGTTAACAGACGCCCGCAACCGCTTTGGCAGTGTCCTGTCACTCTAGATTGATGATGGGCACGAAACTCCTTCCAGTGGTTTTACAGTTTTGGGTTGGATAGAAGATTTCAATATCCAACGTGTCAATATTCCACATTCAGACCAGGTTCCGAATGTCGCGGATCAGAAGTACAGCTTTCCGGAAAATCTAGATGCGTTCTACCGCTACCTTAAAACGAGGCAGAATACAAAAAGGAAACCTAATTTCCAGGCCTGCTAGACCGTTAGCTTCTGGAAATTCTTGTTGGTTATTCTACAGGCTCGGTCATCAGCCAATGACTCATCGAACGGTTGCCGGAAATATACCCGAACTCTCGGGTTTGGCTGTGAGCAGGAATCTGACTGTTACGTTCGTAGGGAGACAGAATCTGAATACTCAACGCCGACATTTCAGTCCTTATGATTAATCTCAAGTCCCAAGTCCTCGACCTCTACTAATTCTCAGCCTTGCTAGAGTGGTCAGGAATTCAGTCAGCTACTGAGGGATTAGTGAACAAAGCGGACATAGAATCACACATTCTAAGAGTATTGCCAGTACTGTGTGATATGCAAAGCCTTGCACCGTTCAACCAGCGACAGTGAAGAACTTTCTCTCCGAAAATTTCATATCTGGTGTGCTCCTTTATCAGTTCCCGAATTCAATCAATATCCACAACACGAGCTCCTAACACAATTGGACCCCACTTTCAGCAGAAGGATATAAACCTTCCTCCTTCCCCGTAACTCCAGACCAAAAGGCAACACCATACCTAAAACCCAATCTCCAGAAAACGAAGCCAATGAAAATGACCACACCACTACCCACAATCCTAACCTACCAACACAACGCCAACCTCCACACCATCCAAACAAAGCTAACAGCAATCCACCCATTCGACACCCTTGCAGAGCCAAACCGCAACCTCTTCAAACAAGCCACAAATGAAGACCATGTCCTCATAACCGAGGAGACAATATTCCACCCCCAAGGCGGCGGCCAACCCTCCGACACCGGCACAATCACCAGCACCACCTCAGCCGCGACCTTCACAGTCTCATCGGTGCGCATGGACGTCCTCGACGACGGACAAGTCCTTCATCTCGGCCGCTTTAGTACCCCAACGGTACCATTCACCCCGGGCGAATCAGTCACCCAAACTATCGACGCGCAAAAGCGCCTCCTTTACTCCCGTCTCCATACCGCGGGCCACGTCCTCGGCGCGGCGGTTCGACATCTTCTGGAGGATGAGATCGAGGGGTTCGACGAGCTGAAGGCGTCGCATTTTCCGGACTCGGCAGCTTGTGAGTTTCGGGGGCTGATTGAGGGAAAGTGGAAGGGGGTGATTCAGGAGAAGGTGGATGAGTTTGTTAGGGCTGAGATGCCAGTGGAGGTGGAGTGGTGGGGGGAAGAGGAGTTTAAGGAGAGGGGGTTGGAGAGGTTGATTCCCGAGAGAAGGCTGGGGCCGGGGGAGAAGTGGAGGGTTGTCAATATTGTAGGGGCGGAGGTTTACCCGTGTGGAGGGACACATGTTGAGAGGACGGATTTGTGTGGGGGGGTCACTGTTAGGAAGATTTCGAGAAGTAAGGGCGTTTCGAAGGTGGGGTATGCTGTTGATTAGGTGTAGGGGTTATATGGAAAGGATAATGCATTGGCGGAGGAGGACTGGCGGCGTGGAGAAGATTAAGACAATATATAACTAGAGGAGGTCTATAGAAGTGAAGGCTGGCGGGAGCGTGTGCGCTTGTCAAGTATATAGAGACACTATAGCTTGCGAGCAGCTCCAACAATACATAGTACATTTATTAGATAATATAAATGTGTTGTACATCATCCATAATAACATTAATTGCCGAAAATAAACCCCGGATGACCCTACGCCTATGCACCTATTCTGAGCCCTATCAAGAGCAATTGCAAGACACGGGAACATGCCTGCACAGCCGAATAACTGTGCATCAACTGGACGCCAACACTCCCCTGTGTCTGTAGCATGTCAGAAATCCGTCACTGTCGGCTCTTATCATGTAGTCAGCAGATACCTCGATTAGAGTGGTTCACTGTTGTTTATGAACGGTTACGATCCAGAGTGGGTCGTCGCGATTCTTGCTGGAACATCTCGTCCGTGGGAATGATAACCTGCTGAATATTCTACCGTGTAAACTGGCTAAGATGCAGGGCGATGAGATCCAAATATACAGTTATAGGCGCCAATTTTTGAAATTTCTCCCCATATTGTTATGTGCTGAAGTCAGACGTAGCGTTACAGCGAGCGTCAGGCTGTTCTTGGTTCTCTGTAGGCGCGTGGTTCTGCTCAACACGGTTGTTGGTAGAGCAGTCTCTTGCCGACGATAGGATCGAGGTTCCTACGTCTTTTCCTATCAGAAACGGTGGAATCGCATTCCGAGCCCGTGCGGCAATCTCGGCCGAAAATTCGTGCCCCCTTCTCCCAGTCACGCATCGTTAAAGCTCTACAAAAGTGATCAGACCAATGAACAACTCATTCCCTCCAGCTGGTCAATTGGTAATCGCAGAGCCTGCACCGGCACACGAGAGGTGGTGCCTCGTTCCGCCACCCCTCAATATATGGGATTTGTTTCAATCGATGCACGAGCCGAAGGTGCTGCACAAGATGATCCTTACAAGCAAAGCTGCGTAAGGCACCGGCGCAGGCGTTGTGATTATGTTCTTGGAGACGTCGGTATGTGGGCTCAGGGCTGCTGCAATATGCACAATGCCTTTGGCCTGTTGTCGGCGAAATCACTGAACCGCTTTCAGGGGCGCTTGTCCGTGTTTCAGGATCGCGATGTATTGATTTTTCATGGCCCGCCCAGTCGTACCTGTTCTTGAAGGTGCCGGCACAGAAAGTGCAGTAGAAGGCGCGCCGTTTCGCTCTGCCGGGCTTCGTGACTCAGTTTCTCTGTACTACTCCTGTGAGAGGAGATCGGTGTTCGGCTTCTCAGAGCTTCGTGACTGATTCGAGCGCGCAGGGATATCCAATATTTGTGAGTGGCCATTTCGATTTGAACTAGAGAGATGGTGTCCATAGGAGAGGGCCGTGGCGTCTGACTTCGCGTGACGCGTCCTCAATACGCCTAGATGAACCTTCAACAGCGATATCCGGGCCAGAGGCTAAGTTTGAAAGAGCCTGTCTTCTGTGTTCTGGTATTGGGCAGTGACTCCCGGATCGAGCCAGCGATTTGGAGGCTGGGGTGAAAATGTGAGGTGATTGATCTTTGTATGTTGTATCCAAGTGCATACGAGCATTACTAGATAGGACATTGGAGATGTCATTGTAACGCGAATCACCACTTGATTCTTGCAGCGTGGGTTCTGTGGCAGGATTCATTTTGTGGACAGTAATCAATTCCGGCCAAATATTCATTGATGTTTTGTATTATCCATTCCGGCAGCTGTCGAGAGCATAGTGTTAGCGTTTCTTATTGCGTTTCTTGTTAGGGTTAGTAGTGAGGGTACATATTGGCCGTGCAGGGAGGCAGCCGTAGACGGTGGCAACTGAGCGTCCGATGCATTCACGCTGGAGGCATCGTAGCTAGTCGCATTGGCCGTAAAAAGGTCGTTAGCGACGTACTACTAGCTACATTTGCTTAATGACAGAGTTCGAGCTCGACGGTGCTGCTAATGCCAACCCTGTGCTGTCTTTGGCCTGCCGTTCTTTCTGATTTGTTAACCACGACCGAAGGTAGAGCCCTGTGCCTACATCATTGAACAAAGGTTCCCAGTGTTATTTCCCTACCAAGGTGAAATGTGCAAGGATAAAATCGTTATTGAATTGGCCAATAAATGAATAACTAAATAAGAAGAAAGTGGACAGTCTGGAATGCTATTAAATGGGCTAATGCATGTAGACCAAGTCAGAATGCTCCTCGTTGCACGCCCTACGTCTTACGCCATGCACCCAATCTCCACTCTCGGGGACATCTGCACAATCCTTCTTTGCTGGCTAGTGCTATGATCTGACATTGGCATGAGAGTGTCTAGAGTGGTCTAATTAAGTCCAAATAAACTTTTGGCTGCTTTACGTGGTATTCCTTGGTACTGACGTCACGATGGTAATCCATCAACCTGCGTATATGGATAGTTATGACTAGTTTCACAATGACATTGCTATAGCTATCTATTCGTTTCGTGACGAGCCCTTGGATACTTCATACAACGGATTGCTAAAATGTCGTCAACTGATGTGGGTCGGCACGTCCTTCTCACGGGCGCAAATGGCTTTGTAGCCTCGCATATCCTATCGATCCTCATTGGGGTATGGAATCGAAATCTATCACCCTACGGACTACAGGACTTCTGACTTGTAACTAGCGCGGATATGCCGTCACGGCGACTGTTCGTTCCCATGGGAAAGCAGACGATATCATCAAAACCCACCCTGAATGGAAGGACCGCGTCAAGTTTGCGATCGTGGCTGATTTGAGCTCCGCAAAACCTTTTGATACCATCTTTCAAAATGCAAAGAACCCGTTTAACTATATTATCCATACTGCGTCTCCCGTGAGGTTCCAGGTGACGGATATTTGGAAAGAGATGATCGAGCCAGCCGTCATGGGGTAAGTAACTGGAATACTAAGCATACAAAAACAAGGTAACTCACAGAATCAGTACTATGGAGATCTTAAAGGCTGCCCACCATTATGGCGGCAGCGACCTGAAACGGTTTGTCCTGTTAGGCAGTGCGGTTTCCGTCTTGAACTCTTTCGAGGACTTGTCCCGAGAAGGGGTGCCGTATACTGAACGAAGTTGGAATCCCGTAAGCCAAAAGCATCCTGTTGATGACAGTAATGACATCTCACGCTGGAATAGGTTACTGCTGAACAAGCCATTGAGAATAATGACCCTGTTCTGGGGTACAACGTGTCCAAGACCATGGCCGAGAAATCTGCGTGGCAGTTCGTGAGGAAGAAGTCCCCATCTTTTGACCTGGTGGTAATAAACCCGGACTTCATCATAGGACCTATGATCCATCCCATTTCGGGCCCGAAGAATGTCGCCGAGACCAACCAGTTTGCCATCAGAAGCTTCATCGATGGAACCTATAAGCAGATCGAAGATGCGACGTTTCCTTTCTACCATTTCGTGAGTCTCCCTTAGGCTTCACCGCAGTAAGAGATGAATCAATACCCAAAATGTCTGGCTAATGCATTGTATATATCAGGTGGATGTCCGCGACGTGGCCCAGAGCCATGCTGATGCGTTGACGAATCCTGCAGCGGCAAACCAACGTATTCTTCTTATCTCGGACCTTATAGCGCCACAATTGGTCGCTAACGTCATCCGGAAGAACTTTCCTGCGCTCAAAGATCGAGTACCTGAGGGTAATCCCTCGCAGATTTTGCCCTCTGGCGTCCACCCGACGGGATGGGATATGCGGGTCAGTCTTGACATCCTTGCTAAGGGCACTAAGGAGGGTAAATGGAACTATATCGACCTCGAAACTAGCGTTACTGATACTGTTAACTCAATGATCGAGCATAATGTAATTTAACTGTTCAGTTGTTGTACCTGAATTTCGCCGTTTGAAAAAGAAGTCTAAACAAAACTACTGCAGGCCTTCGTGCAGGAAATATGTGACTAGCGCGCTCGCTACTCTGATCATCTGTGATAAGGGTTCAAAATCTATACTCCATGTTCAATATCATGGAAACTCAGAACAAGGGCGATCAAATGGAGATTGTAGCCGGCGTCTAGCTTCCTGACCGGCAGGTGCGTCACCCACCACACTTATAATTTGGCTACCAATTGCGCAGCCCTCGGCGATATCCTGGACCAACAGGAAGTGCTCGCGCTTGCTGACACCGAATCCAAGAGCTGCTAGCGTATTTTCAGGCAAAGCACGGATACGATTCATAAGCTGGGGAGGATCTGAACTAAGTTCATTGGTGGCCCCGGTGACGCCCATTCGTGAAATAACATAGATAAACGAGTTGGCGATCTGGCATAGAGCTTTCATGCGAGAAACAGAAGCTGCTGGGGAGGTAACTGGGGCATAGGGACGACTATATTCAGTGTATTAATACAGACAATGTTTCCCTCTCGAGCAATTCTTAAAACATTTTCTATCCTACTCACCTGCTCTGGTTGCGTAGATTTCTGAAACGAACTGCTTCCTCGGGAGGAAGATCAGCCATCACAAAGCCATTGACACCCCCTTCCTTGCAGTCCTTCATTAGACGGTGTTCTCCATAGCGAATGAATGGATTATAGTATCCCATTAGAAGAACCGGTGCCTCGGTTCCCCCCCGAGTGTCATTCCGTTCCTCTTCACTAGTTGTAGGTATGCTAGACTCGAGAATTGCCATCTTTTCAGGTAACGATCGTAATAGAGAAATCAAGTTGGCTCAAGGAGAAAAGCTGCCTACTAAAAAGCGGACATAGCGAAAGGAAAGTGATAGCGTGGAATGCTTCTAAGATAACCTAGCGCCAAGTCACTGCCATGCGAAGTCATGATCCCTGCGTCTGGACAGATTTGCAATCATGAATGGCCAGCAAGCTCGCATGACTAGCTAGATAGTTCAAAGAAGAACTCTGGAATCGATTGTCTCACGCTTTCCATGCAGGGACTTTTTACCCGCTCTCCCTATAAGCCTACTCCGCAACATCGTTATTACATGGGAGCTTTAAATACTTAGCTTTTTCTATTCAAATATGTATTACAGCTATCTCTGAAACTTTAAGTGTTTCAGCTTAACATTCCCTAACGCTGGATTTTAATAAATGAGATATACTCAGAACTCTATGCTGGTCCTAAATATCTATTTGCAATTGTGATATTCTTTTAAAATGCGCGTTATATCAAATCAATAAATCCTGAGCAGTAGGAGGATCCGTTCCCCGTAATTGGACATCGATCTACCACTAATTTTCGTATTCCATGCCAGCCTCCCGTCTTAGTGAGCCATAGAGACCCACATAATCGCCATGGCCGCCTTTCAGCTCCACAACTCTGGCTAGGTGCATATCAGCTACTTCCGACGCGCGTAGCCGTGTACCGGCCATTATTATGAAGTCTTAAGTTAAGCGCATTTGGCGGATGGTCGAGATGGAAATAGAAGTCCTGCATAATACTGTCAGGCAATTAAATTGACCGCCTATTGACACCGCCTTCGTTCCCTTTCTTCCTCATCTATACCCCCCACTAGTCTATATACAAACAATGAAGTCTAGTTAGTCAAACACAATCAGTTCTTCATAAGAAATCATCGTATCCTAAAGGGAGGCGATACGGTGACATAGTGAGGACTAATTTAGAGAGACAGATCTGGTCGATTTCAGTACTGCGTACTGGATAATGAATATTATGAATCAAAAGAGCAAGCGTATAGTCCTAGATCCTCGTTCCATTCCGCTTTTATAGAGCTACTCGGCTTTAGCGTGCCAACTCAGTATTCAAGAACCTCACTACTTCAGACTAGCCTCTCTGATAATAGGTCCTCTTGCTACAGCCACTATATTTGCTGTTGGGACCCACGGCGATAGGTGGAGGATACGAGATGTTGAATTAATGGATGCAAATATATACCACCTCTGTTTGGATGTGGATCACAAACCTCCTTCTCGTTGAATTTTTCACATATAAACTACCGAGTAGGAAACGGTTATTTTTGGCTCAGTGTTGCTCGCTTTAGGAAATAAGATTATGCACGGCCGCCACTGGCACCGCTCACTACCAAAGCGACGCTCAACTCGAGATAATCCTAAACTCAATCACCAGACTTAGCACACTAGACCTGGACAGTGAGTGTCAGTGTCGCACAAGAATACCCAATAATTCGAATCTGTCGCGAATTGACACTCTGCCACCGTCTTAGCTTGTCCTACTTCACCTAACGCCTCAAGGCTATGCGCACGGTCCATAGGGCAGCGGGTCAGAGATAGTCTGCAGAAGAAAGCAAATTGCATTATTGAGAGGCTTAGCCTCTTCATTCGGCGCTAGCTTATGGTTGTTCTTCACTTGTTCTTCACTTTATGCGGCTGTCTAAGCATATATAGGATTCCTTGCGGTCCGACCAAGGTTAGCAATTGAGTGCTCAGGACTTGATATACATCGCTTTGAGCGAGTACGTCTAGAGTAATCTTGACTCAGTCTTCCGCAGACGGGTGTTCTGAACGGCAGTTAACTGGTATGCATGCCTTTGCCACTTAATCATTTGTCCAAGGCACATGTGGCGACTTCGGCAATGACAGCCAATGCATCGTATATGTCTTTCTTTGGGAATATTACACAGGCTGAATATAACATGGCCAAATGGGCTCATCCAAAGCAGTCGGCCACAGTCCGGGAAAATTGTCCCAAAGGCTCTTTGGCCTCTGCGAAACAGAAACGATCAGGGCAAAGGCCCTGACGGGATATGAGGGCTCTGGATCAGTCTACAGTATATGATTCAAAAATGATCCCAATAGGGAAATTCCAGCTGGCCTTTAAACCGTTGGCCAAGGTCCAGCGATAAGCGTTGCAAGTGGGGTGTTGGCCGGGTTGTTTGAAGGAGGCAATTGGGATACCGACCATGACAATGATCTCCATCCCACAGCTTTAGCTTAATATCATTGGCGCCTGTTTACCTAAAATCGACAAACAGCTAGGTATGCGTTGGTGTGAGCTTATAGCGTTCTTGACATTAGGTCTAGGTGCCATTAGTGTGGAATCCAAGTTATTATTGTTGAGCTTTTCTAATAGTGACTAATCTAGATGGTTATGTCGTGCCATATAACTTAATAAAAGAACTTTGTAAGTCGTATTATCTTTCGCTACAATCATGACAACTTGGGCTATATGTGTCATATTAGAAGCCTAACCCTAACCCTTGGATGCATGCCATAAGTACCCACAGGCTTTCACCTACACTGTCCGTTTCATTATCTCTTCTTTGGTGGTGTGGCGTGGCTCCATGTATGCACGATGTTTGTACTTGAATTTTGTTCTTATTTTCAATCTTTTCTAGTTATTTTGATCCCGAAGAGGTGAACAGCCCCTAGGCGTTGACTGAGGCATGGTGCGCGCAGAATTGGATAAAACCTCATCATTTATTTGCAGCAAATCCACCGCAGGGATACGGAATACTTGCGTATTTCCGTCGAACTGCCAAGGTATGGAAGGAAGCTATACTTCGGGATTTGCTCCGGGGGAGAACAAATATTCAGTAAATCAGATCCTCACCCCGCGGGGATCAGTTCCTCATGCGGAGAGATGTGGGTCGGACTGCGCAGCGACAAGAAACCTGTCTCACTGAATGTCTCTCATTTGGGTAATTCTCCGGCTGGTGTCTTGTATGATGCAAGACATAAATATCCCACTTGGTCTGTCAATAAATTGCATAGGTGCCCTTATATATTTGGCATAACTGTGTGAAATCTAGTACTTGCAATGAAGATCAATCAACTGACATTCGCGGCCCTTGCCCTGTGTGGCTCAGCCCTGGGGTCTCCAACCCTCTCGGGCAGACAAGATCAAAAAGCAGGATACCTCTCTGTTTATTGGACAACAAACGATGAAAGCGTCTACTTCGCCTTAAGCGACAATAGCGACCCACTAGGATTCTCCCCTATTAACAACAATAAGCCTGTAGTGACCCCAACTGTCGGCACCAAGGCTGTACGGGACACAAGTATCATTGTTGGGGAGGGCGACAATGTTGGGAAATACTGGATTATTGGTACTGATCTGAACATCGGCTCCGTGAGTCTCTTTACTCTGCGTTGGATGTGTGAACTGGCTGACTGAAGTAGACGAACTGGGGCGATGCGGTCCGCACTGGCTCACGTGGCATATATGTGTGGGAGAGCACCGACTTGATTACTTGGAGCGAGGGTGCTCTAGTGACGGTCGAGGATAGTACCGCTGGAATGGTGTGGGCTCCAGATGCTATTTGGGATGCCGAACAAGGTGAGTCCTTCAGTAGAAAGACGATAAACGGAACTGACTATCGCAGGGCAATACCTCGTTCATTGGGCTTCGAAGTTTGTATGTCTATCTAGTCCTACAACGCTACGAGTAAAGAAGCCAACTAATGTATTACAGTATTCCGCCGATGATACAAACCACACGGGCGCTGCGACCACAGCCAACATTCTCCGCTACGCACACACGAAGGACTTCAAGACCTTCACCGAGCCGAAGACTTACATCGATAGTTCTACGGACGTGATCGACCTGTGCTTTTTCCGGGTTGATGACAATACGTTCTTGCGCTCGTACGTCAATAGCAGCGCATCTGGTTTACCTGTGCAGATCAGCACCAATGGGCTGTTTGGTGACTGGTCGAGTCTCGGTACTGTTGCCGATAGCACTAGCTATGAAGCTCCCTATTTCTTTGCGGATAACATGAGTAGCGGTAAGGGATATTTACTCGCCGACGTTGTCGGTAGCAACCCTGGATTGTCCGGATGGACGTCGTCCGATCTGAAGAAAGGCATCTTTATCAAGGATTCTTCGCACGATTTGACTTTTATGCGACACAATTCCGTCCTTTCTGTTACACAAAGCCAATACGATGCGCTGAAAGCGATGTGACGAACTGTCCCTGGCAGGAGTAGCAGGATTTGAGTTCGGGGTTTCTACTTGTATATACTCAAGCTTGGAGTTAAGTCTCATTGTTTGTGAATCGAATTGTCGAACGCGTATCTCTTTCATGCTTTTCTCACCACTAAATTAAGTCTTCAGTTCAGTAGAATCTTAATGGCCTATACTCCAACTAATACACAGATCTAATGGCAGGCGTATTGTTACATGCTAACCTCCCATCCGCGCCAAGATGGAGGTGTAGGAACGGCATATTCTTAATTGACGCAGGAGGAATTACACCAAATCAGTCAATAGTATCTAAAACAGATGACTTGATAATGCTCCGCAGCCTGTGCTTCTTGTCGATCTACCAATCAGCCATAAGTCAAAATTTAGAGAGCCTGGGATAGCCTATACAAAACATGCGTACCCCTTACTACGGGATATTTCCTTGCATTCTGGTTGAAAGAGTGACAATCAGGGCATTTTTCCCAACACGTGAATTAGGCAGACATTTTTTCTCTGTGGGTGCTATTGGTTCCAGTGTCCCGGGGGCTTATAGCTGACTAGAACATGTAGCAAATGCTGTAGGTATTGTTATTCATGGGCCATTGTGATTCGTATCTGACTTCTGACACCCCCACACGCATGTCATATGAAAAGACAGATATTGAAACTGATCACAGGGCCATAGATATTCGGACCCATAAGTCTATATGCTTGACCAGATCAGCTCAGACCAATTTACCTCTGCCAGGTGCGCACTTCATCAATCTGTTCAAGCTCACCATGAGAGCAACAACAATGACCATCCGGGCTTTGGAGAAAGTTCCAGGGTCTGCGGTGGACTTTGGCGCACAGATTGACAATGTAGACCTGGAGGACTTGACAAGTGAGAGCTGGCCCAATTTTGCATCCAAACGAGTAACTAAAAATTGCTCTTTAACAGATGACGAGTTCTCCAAAATCAGAGATATCCTTTACCATCAACATATTGTCGTGTTCAAGAACCAGCAAGGGCTTTCTTCTAAGGCCCAGTACGAACTTACCAAGCGCTTTGACCCGGGCGCAGATCACTATGGCCATGACAATATCATTGATGGCGAATCTACCAAGCTTCATGGCAACTTCAAGCCGGTGGTGCACCAGCCTCAGGTCCAGGTGAAGGGAAACGGCTTTGTAGAGTCCTACGAGGGCCTCCACAACATACAGCTACTACATCCTCATCACCGAAACTTCCACCGTGACTGTATCTCCGAGGACAAGGATCATGAGTTCACGCGATTTTACCGCTGGCATATTGATGCTGCGCTGTATGATCTCTACCCACCGAAGGTCACGACCCTAATGGCCGTGCGGGTACCCAAGGGTCGCCGGCAGATAGTATTATATGACGACGGATCCGGGGAGACACTAGATGCCTCGCTAGCAACGACCGCGTTTGTCAGTGGCAACAGAATGTTCGAGATGCTCTCTCCGGAAGACCAACAATTTGTCAAAACGAGCAGTGTTGAATATGCACCACATCCGTGAGTACCACCCAGTATAGTAAAGGATTTATAATAGTCAGCTCACCCTAGTTAACCCAGCCACGTATGGAGGGGAAAGGCTCGGTCATTCTCTAACGGTCTCCGTTTATATTCCGAAGGCCATGAACTGTCTGAGTCCGACCTGCCCAGCTTTGACCGGGCCAAAATACAGATCTTACCGATGGTCTGGAAGAACCCCGTAACGAGGAAACTCGCCCTTCAAATCCATGCACCAGCTGTTCGTAGGATTCACCTTCAGGATGGGGGCGTTATTGATGACCTCGCGCGGATTCGGGACATTGTCTATCGGCTACAACGCCCCGCTATTAGTCCACAATACGTATACGCACACGATTGGAGCGAGGGAGATCTAGTGCTCTTCAATAACCATGGCACGTTGCACACGGTCGTGGGTACGTTACAGCCGGATGAGATTCGCCTCTTTCGGCAGTGCAACCTTGCGGCGTCGGAACCTCCTGAAGGGCCATGATTTTCCACACTTTTTGTCAACTTTCCGTCCCTCCAGTAGGATCTACGTAATATAGCATGTGCGATATGGCTATGTATTAACATTACGTGAAAGGTTCATTGTGTAGCTTATCACAGAGGAAGGCCCGCACCAACATAGCCAACACAGTTTACATACGCATACTACGGCCTCACTTTTGACTACATCCGTTGTGACAGCCAAATATAGGCCATGATGCAGGCAACCTGTAGCATCGATGACAGATTTAGATGATTAGATGTGAACCGATTGTGCCCACAACAGGATTCTTGTAGATGAAAGAGATTGTGAAGCTTTTCAAGACTAGTTAACCAAGCTGATAATAGAAGCGCCCCCGACAACGGATCACACTCTAACCAAATCTATTAAAGACCACTATAAACAGTCTAGGGTAGCTTCTATACTTTCTTCTTCAGCCTTTGGTCATGTTGAATTATACGGGACGGGATTCGTCTAATCTACATAATTTTGGCAAGCTGTATATATTGGATAACGCTATAACAGTCAAAGTAGTAATAGCAGTTTAGATAATCACTGGAAGTAACTTGGTCCTTTCAAAATTTGATCATATTCATACAACAAAAAGAAGAAGTGGAAAACCCCGTGACCGGCGCTGTTACCAATTAAGGGTGTGTGGAGAAACTAACAAGTACCATCAACTCACCCTCATACGGCCTCAGTTCCTAAACTGTGTCTCAAGCGCATATGCAATGCTATGCTAAGGGTCCAGACGGGGAGCGATTCGGAATATCCGGGGAAACATAATTTCAGGGTTGTTTGAGGAGAGTCGTCGTGTCGAACAAGAGGCTGACTCCGGCATTAGGCAACAAGGAGTCACTAATCATACAACAGCAGAGTGAGCAAATTTTCCAATGGTTCTTTTAGCTCGACGTCCTTTTAAATGCCAACCGGCAACCTACGCGCAATAATATCTCAGTGCCCCAGCTCATTGCAATTTCTTGTTGTGAAACCAATATGGACGTCCAATTCGAGTATCCACACGCATCACTATGCCTCTCACCGATTTCAGCCCATATGCAGGTAACTTTGTCTGACCGGGATATCCAGGCAAGCATGCAAACTAAATAGGCGCATAGCGACAGCGTATGAACCAGACGTTGCTGTAGCCTATATTCACGTATCCTCAGCGCCGAGTATATTCCCGAATAACGCACGATACCCTCAGGCTGACACTCGGTATCGCCGAGATCTTCCAGATTCAGGTTCGATGTGTCCGTACTAGCTCCGGAGTTGAAGGGTTCAATTGTCTAAAAGTGGAGCGTGTAGTCGAGCATTTTGGTAATATGACCCTTCCTGCGCATAACCTCGCCGGCATGATGAGGGCGTATTCCCGACTGGCGTGAACTCGGGCACGGCTTCTTAACTCGAAGAGCGAAAATCCAACTCGAGGTTTGCAGGTATGAGGATATTTTCGATCAACAGACTATCTAAAGCACATGTACTTCGACCTTGCCCGTTTTTGTCAGTTTAGCTGATGCTGGCTGTGTAGCGAGGGATGGGTTCGTTCGCCAGCAGGATATGGCTCGAGATCCATGTTAACTTGAAATGTTGACAATTTGGGTGCGGGGATGCCAACACCGAGGTTATCCTGAATATTCCCGGAGCCCCGGCGGGGCGGTTTAACTTGATAGAGCAAAAGCAGTCCGTGAGGCAGCCACGTTGTCATTCGAAAACACCGTGTTTCGGTCCATAAAGACCGAAGGCGAGAAAAAAAAGGTCTCGACTGAAAAAGTGGCCCTTTTGAATCCACAAGATGGGGCATTGGGTTGACAATCCGAAGTGGGTTCTTATAAATGGCACGATCCGGATCCACGACTATCTAGTGCTACCACTACTGGTATCTAGGTCCTTGGCAAGTCGAATAAATTGAGAGAAGGTATTACGTTTTCCCGCCGAGGATGCAACCCTCGCCACTATCGCACACGCTATATCACCATCATGACAGGGGTTCCAAATGCCTAGAAATTACAAGAGTGCTCAGAGTTGCCCCTCTGATGTCGAAGTTCTACCTAAATGACCCGCTACTATGGAGGACAGCGCCAGGATAGCTTCCTTTTTCAACAGCTTAACGGTGGAATCTCTACACAACGTTCTGGGGGGG